CGTCCCCTCATGCGCGCCGGAGGAAGAGGGGGATAGATTCCCCTCCCTCCCCGCTTGCGCGGGAGAGGAGAGGCAGTCCCCCTTTTATCCTCGCCTGTTCGGCGGCAAGCGGGGTGGGACGGGACGGGCTCCAGCGCATTGGAGAGGGTGTCAGGGTTAGGGTTTGGCTGTCAGGGTCACGGCGTTATGGGTAGGGTGTTCGGGTTAGGGGGCTTGGACGTCGCGTGCTTAGGGTTGGGATGTCAGAGTAGGTTGTCAGGATTCGGGGTAGACTGTTGTGGTTGGGGTGCTCGTGTGCTGTGGTTTCGGCTAGCCTGTAAGGGCTAGGTTGGTACAGTGTGCCTGTAAGCGTTAGGGTTCTTAGGGTGTTGGGGTTGGGTTGTTAGTTGGGGGCAGGGTGTGAGTGTTAGCGATGGGGCTAGGGTGCTGGGTGTCAGGTTGTCACAGTGAGAGGGGTAGGGTACTTCGGGCTACGGTTAGGCTGTCAGTCTGAGGGTGTTAGGATTAAGGTGCTAGTTTAGGGTTCGGGCGGTAGGGTCGAGTGTTTGTGGTAGGATGATATTATTGAAATTCGTAGCCGTTTGGCTCAAGCCGTGTGGCTCAAGCCATGATGGTTCGGCATGTGGGCAGCCATTATGTCTTGTCACGCTCTAGGTGGCGCATGGGGCCACCATTGCGACATATGGATGTGCACTGTTATTGCTCGTGGACAGGTGTGGTTGCTCTGTGCTCATGCATTCGACTCTGCAGACGCTCTTCTGCGAAGCGTACAGCAGATGTTTCGTAATTGTTCGCTTCATCTCAGGCTATCAGTGAGCTGCGACCGCCAGTGGCCTCCTCGCCTATGAAGATTGCGCAAGGCGTTGGCAGGCGGCTCTGGACACCGTTGTCTTCGTTCGGCAGTTCCCGGAGGGGGCCACCAAGCGGACCCACATTCAGCGAGGCTCCTGCAGCACACGGCGCGCAGACAGAAGCAGGTCCTGCGGCACGGCATTACACAGACGCGGTGCGAGGGCGGCAGACAGGACTGTGGTTCATTTGTTCCAGGAAGTGCCCCGACTCAGTTTCTGCACCCGAGGCGGACACGCAATACATGGGGTCTCCAAAGGGTTCGCAGTTCAGGCAGGAGCAGAAAGATAAGGTGATATTGGCGAAGTACAGTGCGCACGTTTCATGCTCTGGTGGCGGAGTGCTTCCTCCACGAATTTTGCAAGGTCGGTGGAAACCACGAATCCGCCAACCAGGCAAGGCAGACCTCCACTGGATTCAGTCGTGAGGGATTGCACCACGCTGAAGAGACAAAGCAAAAGAGCAGTGAGGCTATGCGTGGAAAACGGAGCCCCTTTTTTCGGTAAGCACTACATGGATGGGGCTAAGCAAAAGACGAGTGAGGCTCAGCTTGGAAAACGGAGTCTCTTCTTCGGTATGTGCCACGCTGAAGAGACAAAGAGTGAGGCCCAGCGTGGAAAAATGGAGCCCCTTCTGGGGTAAGCACCTCACTAAAGAGACAAAGCAAAAGATGAGTGAGACTAAGCGTGAGAACCGGAACCCTTCGTTCGTTCAGCACCACGCCGAAGAGACTAAGCAAAAGATGAGTGAGGCTAATCGTGGGGACCGAAACCCTTTGTTCGGTAAGCTCTTCATTGAAGGTAACAGTTAAGATAAAAAACAGGCAACACATCAGTGGGGCCAAGCGTGGGGACCGGAATCCTTTCTTCGTCAAGCACCGTTTTGAAGAGGCAAAGCAAAATATTAGTGATGCTAAACGTCGGGACCGGAAGACTTATTCAGGTAAGCGCCACACTGAAGAGACAAAGCAAAATATGCGTGAGTCTAAGCGAGGTAACCCCCAAGCGAGGAGCAAATTATAAGTGGGGCCGAGTGCCAGAAGCAGCGGTGCGAGGAGAAGGTGTGAGACACAGCCCAGGTTATGGACGTGAATGGGAGAAGCAAGAGGCAAATCAGGTCATGCGCGTTCATCGGCACCCTTTACCGAGTTTCGCCGCCGCAAACCAGCAAGAGCGACGAGCGTCGACTGCTGGGAATAGGGCCATCCACCCGTGGGCCGAGCAAGGCGTCTGAGAGGCTCGTTTTGCTCTTCCTCGTCTTCTCCCTGTTCCCCCTCACTTCAGTCTTTGTGGGGACATTCGCCGCGTCCGCGTATTATCAGGCTGAGGGTGTCAGAGTGTTTGGGTCATGCTGCTACTCATTGGGTGAGGGCTAGCATGTGAGAGCTAGCATGTCAGGGTTCGACTGTCAGGGTAAGGGTGCTTAGGGTTAGGGTCAGCGTGTCATGTTTAGAGTTTCGATGCTAAGGTATTAGGGTTAGGGTTAGGATCAGGGCATGGGGTCAGGGTGTTAGGCTTAGGGTGTGAGGGGCATGGTGTTGGGGTTGGGTATTATGGTCAAGGTGTTCAGGGTGCGCGATTTAACGTCAGAGTTTTAGGGTGTCAGGGTCAGTGCGCTTAGGGCTAGGGTGTGAGAGTGTCAGGGTTCGTGTGATCAGGCTGTCGTGCAATCAGACGTAGACATATCTCATATCTGGGTCCGGGGTATCATATTAGACTTCATTTGCTAGGGTGCACGGATTGGATTGTTCTGAGTATGTCTCCAGGGTTCGGGTGTCAAGGGATTAGGCGCTAGGGTGTCCAGGATAGGGGGTCGGCGTTATGGTGTTCGTGCCGGAATGCTTGCGGACAGAGGGGGGTCCAAAGGGGTGTCTCCTACCAGCCCAAATGGTAGGAGAAGAAAAGGACCTCCTTTGAACATGTGGGGGGAGGGGAGGAGGGGGGGCGGGTCGGTGATGATGGTTCTGATGGGGGTGGGTGGGGGGATCGGGAAAACAGGGAGGTGGAGGTCCAACCCCCCCTCTCTGGGTAAACCAGCGGCGCGCCCACCATGACTCTCCAGCGCACCGGAAGCCTCTCCCAGTCCCCCCCCCCAGTCTCCACGCCGGCCCCGCCCCTCCCTTGGAGCATCTGGAGCCCTTCCTCGTCTTCATTCCTCACCCCCTTTCGTGGAGCCCACCGTCTTCCCCTTCCACCCCCCCATCCTCCTCGAGAGAGCTCCTCCTCAGCCTCGTCCTCGCCGCCCCCCGCCAGGGCATCCCGTAGTTCCCAGGCCCTGGGCGCCAGGCCTTGCTGAGATGAACTGCGTCTCGCGCGGACAGGACGCCCGCCTCAGGAGGCACCCCGTGATTCCCAGGCCCTGGCCCGCGGGCGCCGCCGAGTGGCGCCCCGCGGCCCCTGGGCTCGGGGCGCCACGCCCAGGGGCCTCGAAGCGCGGGCCACCTCCAGGAGTGCGTACTGCGGGCGCCAGGCCGTTGATATGAACCGCGGGGTGGCCTTCAAGGAGTGCGTCTTGGCGCGCGCAGCACGCCCGCCCCAGGGCACCCCATTCCCAGGCCCTGGCCCGTGGGCCTTCAGGAGTGCCTGTTGCAACTGCCAGGCCCTGGTGTGGGTTGCGGGTGGCCGTCAACGAGTGCGTCGTGCGCGCGCAGATCGCCGACGACGACGACGAACAGATCACGGAAGAGACACTCCTGAAGGCATCCTACACTGAAGCGATGCAGGACGCCCCCTGGCTGGCCAGGTCCACGGCAAGGGCCCAGCTCCTGCGGAGGTATGGGGCTTCTTCCGAAGCGCGATTCGACGACTCGAAGAAGAAGAATAATAAGAAGAAGAAAAAGAAAAAACAGAAACTCAAACTCTTGGCGCTCCGCGCGGATTTCTTGCATCCGCTCTGGGCCCCCCTGGCGGCCCCTCCGGCGCCGCCCATGGCGCGCTCCGCGCTCCAGGATCCAAGGAATCCGCGCGGAGCGCCAACAGTTATGATTTTGCAGCTTTCCTTCTCTCGGTACGCAAGCGGCACTCCTGCAGATATCCTACACTGAAACAGTGCAGGAGGCCTCCAAGCTTGCGATGTCCAGGGCCAGGGGTTCGACCTGTGGAAGTATGGGGAGTTCTTCCGAAGCGCGATTCGAGCACACTAGAGGCACTCCTGACGGCATCCTACACTGGAACAATGCAGGAAGCCTCCAGGCTGTGTAGCTCCAGGGCCAGGGCTTCAACTCTGTGGAAGTATGGTGATTCCTTCCGAAGCGCGATTGGACCACACTAGAGCCACTCCTGACGGCACCCTGCCCTGGAACAGTGCAGGAAGCCTCCAGGCTGTCTAGGTCCAGGGCCAGGACCCCAACTCTGTGGACGTATGGGGAGTTCTTCCGAAGCGCGAGTCGAGCACACTAGAGGCACTCCTGACTCCGAAGCGCGATCCGAGTGCGCGAGAGGCGCCGCTGACGGCACCCTGCCCTGGAACAGTGCAGGAGGCCTCCAGGCCGTGCAGGTCCAGGGCCAGGGGCCCAGTTCTGTGGAAGTGTGGGGGAGTTCGTCTGCAGCGCGGTTCGACTACGGAAGAGGCACTCCTGACGGCATCCTGCACGGCAGCCGTGCGGGAGGCCACCAGGGGCCCTGCAGCAGGGGACCCACGCCCGCGGAGGCGGAGCCGCCCCTCCTGCTTCTCCCGCTCCAGAGGCCGTATTACTACTAATAATAATAATAATGGTAATACTATAGTTAAAACAATTAAAACAATATTAAACATAAGAATAATATTAATCATCAGAAGAATAATAAGATGTAAGAAATATAATACTCGTGATCATTTCCGATGCGCCCCCCACTGCCCGCGGCGCTGGTCTTGTTCGCCGTGGCGTGCCTGTGGACGGCCCCGAGGCCCTCGGACGGTTCTGCCCGACACGGCCGTGGGCGGAACAGGCACACATCCATATCCTGCTAGCCCGGCGGGCCGGGCCCGAGGACCACGACCCTGTGGATGCGGAGCTCTGTTTTTGTTTGTTCGTTCGCGGCTGCCTCGCGAGGAGCGCATCCACGGGATCGCGAACTCGAGTCCCGACCGCGAGGGCGTGGACATGGACACGTCTGCAGCGCGCGCAGGAGGCCCAGGGGTGAGGGCCAGTCGCTCCAGGGCCTTCTGGAGCGTTCTCTCGTGATGAGCGTGCTCGAGCGCTCCCCAGCCCCGCCAGCTCTCAGAGATTCCCAGCTCATCCTCCGGGAGTGGACAGATGCACTTTGAGCAAAACGACACAGGGCCAGATCCAGCGGGCGCAGGCCCGGAGATCTTGCCCCCGCACCACCGTCCCAACAGAAACGGGCAGGGCAATGCGCTATAGTCGACGGGGCGGGGCTGGTCGTTCATCAACCTCCGAGTCTCCCTTGGACTGCGTCCTCATCCTGAAGTCTTGGTGAGGAGGAGGAGGAGGGAGGAGGAGGAGGAGGAGGAGGAGGAGGAGGAGGAGGAGGATGAGGGAGGAGGAGGAGGAGGAGGGGGGAGGAGGAGGGAGCGGAGAGGGGGAGGAGGAGGAGGGAGGAGGAGGGAGGAGAAGGAGGAGGAGGGGAGAGAGATGAGGGGGAAAAATGAGGAAATGAGGAGGAGGGAGGAGGGAGGTAGCGGAGGAGGTAGAGGAAGGAGGAGGGAGGAGGAGGGAGGGAGGGGGAGGGGAGGAGGAGGAGGAGGAGGAGGAGGAGGAGGAGGAGGAGGAGGAGGCGGCTGGCGGTCCGAGTCCCCCCCGCCCCCCCCTCTCGCGGAGAGCGCCCCCCCAGGTCGGCAAGAGGCTCTCGCTGGCCACGGCGCTGGCCCTCGCGGCCGCCGCCGCCTGCGACGGCGGGCGTCTGCCGCTGGCCCTGACGCTGTGGCGGGAGGCCGGGAGGAGCCGGATGGCAGCCGCCGGAAACATCGGGGACGAAGGCGACGAAGACGACGAAGGCGACGACGGCGAAGACGACGACGGCGACGGCGACGGCGACGACGACGACGTTGGCGAGGACGAAGGCGAAGGCGCTGACGACGACGACGAAGACCACGACCACGACCCCGACCCACGACCCACGACCATGACCACGACCCACGACCACGATTTTGACGTGTCGACGACGACAACGACGACGACGGCGGCGGCGGCGACTGCGACGGCGATGGCGACGACGACGAACTGAGGAAGAAGAACACGGGCTTCGACGTGTTTGGCCTCCTCGGGGCTCCCTCGAGGGCTCCCTCGTTCGTCGCCACGGCAAGATCCGCCTCCAGGCCCTGCTGGGAACGCCCTCCAAGACAGGCCCAGGCGACGACGACAACGGTGACGGCGATGGCGCTCGAGGACGTGAGGCAGAGGCTGCTGCACGTGTTCAGTCCTTTTTGCCCTCTAGAGGCCTCGATCGAGGGCCCCCCTCCGGCCCGTCAGGGCCCCGCCCGACCCAATCGTCTGGACCGCTCCCGCTGGACTGCTTGAACGCTCGCCTCGCCACCTCGGATGCCCCGCCCGCCCGACCGAACCGCCCGGTTGGGGCCCCGCCCGCTTGACTGCTTGAACGCCCGCGCGCCCTAGATGGGGACCTCACGGAGACTACTTCCGAGAGCTGCCAGACGGCGGTTGCGGCGGCGACTCGGAGACTTTCAGGGCTAACGGAGGTCCGAGGATGGTCCACGGTAATCCTGCGGCGGTCGTTGGCGACCGGCGGCGTCCCGCCCCCTCCCTCCCACTCCAGACCTCGGGCGGATTGTTTTTTCCTAACCATCCTGTGGTTTTGGGTCTTCGTTTTGAAGAGACGGTGCCCCGCGTTCCTCCTCTCCTCCCCCTCCTCCCTCCTCCCTGCGCTTCACCCACCCAGTGAAGCGTTGCGTGGCCCCATAGGGAGCTCCACCTGAGGGCCCAGTGGCGGAACTCGCATGGCGGCCCCGCCTAATTTTGGCACATCCCTCACACGCTTCGCGGCCCCTATACGGTGCTCCACCGAAGGTCCCAGTGGCGGAACTCGCATAGCATCCCCGCCCCATTTTGGCGCACCCCTCATAGCTTCGTGGCCCCATAGGGAGCTCCACCTAAGGTCCCAGTGGCGGAACTCGCATGGCGGCCCCGCCCCATTTTGGCACCCCTCACGTTGCGTGGCCTCATAGGGAGCTCCACCTAATGTCGCAGTGGCGGAACTCGCATGGCGGCCCAGCCCCATTTTGCTACACCTCTCACACGTTTCGTGGTCCCACAGGGAGCTCCACCGAAGGTCCCAGTGGTAGAACTCGCATGGCGGCCCCGCCCCTTTTTGGCACACCCCTCACACGTTTCGTAGCCTCATAGGGAGCTCCACCTGAGGTCCCAGCGGCGGAACTCGCATGGCATCCCCGTCCCCTTTTGGCACACCCCTCAAGGTCCCAGTGGCGGAACTCGCATGGCATCCCCGTCCAATTTTGGCACGCCCTCACACGTTTCGTGGCCCCATTGGGAGCTCCACCTGAGGTCCCAGCGGCGGAACTCGCATGGCGGCCCCGCTTAATGTTGGCACATCTCTCACACGCTTCTTGGCCTCATACGGAGCTCCACCGAAGGTCCCAGTGGCGGAACTCGCATAGCATCCCCGCCCCATTTTGGCACACCCCTCATAGCTTCGTGGCCCCATAGGGAGCTCCACCTAAGGTCCCAGTGGCGGAACTCGCATGGCGGCCCCGCCCCATTTTGGTAAACCCCTCGCACGTTTCGAGGCCCCATGGGGAGCTCCACCGAAGGTCCCAGTGGCAGGGTTCGCATGGCGGCCCCGCCCCAATTTTGGCGCACCACTCACATGGTTCGTGGCCCTATAGGGGGCTTAACCGAAGGCCCCAGTGGCAGGGTTCGCATGCTGGCCCCGCCCCATTTTGGCGCACCCCTCACACTTTTCATGGCCACATTGGGAATTTCCCTTGCTTCGTCCCATCTGCCCTGCGGTTCTCACACTTGCGTATGGTTGGGTCCTTCGCCCGGATTTTTTGGTGGTCGTTTCGCTCATTCCTCCGGCCGGCCCATATTGTAGCACTGGTGCTACATTTTTGCGTGCTCGTGGCGAGCGAGAAGGAGGAGGAGGAGGAGTAGGAGGAGGAGGTGGAGGAGGAGGAGGAGGAGGAGGAGGAGGAGGGAGGAGGAGGAGGAGGAGGAGGAGGAGGAGAAAGAGGAGGCGAGGAGGAGGAGGAGGAGGAGGATGAAAAGGAACGGAGGGGATTAGGATGAGGAGGAGGTCTCTCGACGGTTTCTTGCGGCATTTCGGGGCCAAACTGGATCCTTGGAGCTGTCTTGAGAGCCTCCTGGGACGTCTTAGAGCCCTCTTGGGCTGTCGTGCGGTCCTCTGGGGCCATTTTGGAGCCCTCCGAGAGGCCTCTTGGGCTGTGTCTGGGCGATCTCAGCGGCCTCATGGGCCGTATTGGGGAGAGATTGTGGGCCTCTTGGCCATTCTTGAAGCGTCGAGAAGCTGTAAATGTGAGAACGAAGAAAGAATCGACACATGCAATGAACATCGATGGTTCTTACTTCTTGGGGCCTGCTTGGGAGTACTTCTGGAGGCGTTTCGGGGCGTCTGGGAGGCTTCTTGAGGTGTCTGGAGGCAATCCTGGGCGTCTTGGAGCGATCCCGTGGCGTCTCGGAACCCTCGGACATTATCTTGGCGACTTATTCGGGGCATCTCGGCCCTTGTCGAGGCTTTCTGGGGGGCCTTGAATGCGGCGCCCAGGAACAAAACCATCTCTCAGGTGTCAAAGCTTTCTTTTCGGCCGGGTACCCCCAGGGGCGGCCCCACGCGCGCGCGCACTGGAAAACTCTGAGCCAGTCACCAGAGATTTTGGCACGCCTCTGGCCTGTTGTGCCGGCGAGCATCCTTGCGTTTTTCCTTCCACGCCCGCCGTTTTCGGACCCTGGGGCCAGCAAAGTCGGGTCGCGTTAGGAATTGGGAAGTGGGAAGGGGCCGATACCTCTGGGAGACGGGAGCGATGACTCTAGGGGAAGGTACTCTTGGGGGAACAGGCCGATACCCCTTGGAGGACGAGGAGGAGGAGGAGGAGGAGGAGGAGGAAGAGGAGGATGAGGAAGACGAGGAGGAGGAGGCGGATGGGAGGATGAGGAGGAGGGGATGGGGAATATGAAGGAGGAGAAGGAGGAGAGGAGGGGAGGGAGGAGGGCGGAGGAGGAGGAGGAGAGGTAGGGAGGAGGAGGACCAACTGGGAGGCGGGGGGAGGAGGATGGGAGGAGGAGGAGGAGGAGGAGGAGGAGGAAGAAGAGGAGGAGGCCGAGGAGGAGGAGGATGATGAGGTGGAGGCGGATGGAGGAGGGAGGAGGGAGAAGGAGGAGGAGGAGGAACTGGGAGGGGCAGGAGGAGAAGGAGGAGGAGGAGGAGGAGGTAGGCCAAGGCGCAGCACTCTTCAGTCGAGCACTCGCACGTCTGCTTGGCGCGTGGACGGCCGTCGCGTTTTCGTCCGTCTAGCGCTTTGGCACAGCCTTGCTGTGCATGTTCGTGTTGTTCGGGGATGAAGCAATCCTTGTCTTGGTTTTCGTGTGGGACATGTATTCGCTCCTCCCTCTTCCCCCCAAGGCGGCAGCCAGAAACGGACAGCCTTGGAGGGAACAGCAGGCTGCCATGCCCAAACATCTGTCATGTCGTCATGTTTCCAATGTGCTCTCTCCCTCTGCCCGAAGGGGCCACGCGGCACTCTGGGTGGACAGCGACAGCTTAGGAATGGGCATGGCCATCATTATTCCATCCTCTTCCTCTTCCGCGTCCTCCTGGAAGCTCATCCATGTTGCTCGTCCTCCTGACTTCCCACACATATCTCTCCCTCCCTCCCCTCTTTATGCTTCCCCTACGGTCTCTCTCTGACCGCATCCCTTCTCTTTTTCCTGCTCGTGTTCTCTCGCTTCTGTCCTCCGATCCTATCTGTCACCTTCCACTGTTTCCTCCCGGATTGCTCCTTCCTCACTCCTCAGCTTCCATGTGTCTCGCCGACAGGGAACGT